CATGCATATCATGTTTCATTGTAAATTTGAGTAAGGTTGTTGGTTGTTACGACGTAAATAAGTTATTACAAGGAAGATAAGTGCACCAAGACCAGTCGCAAGAATCATACCACCAATAAATGAAAGACCATCAAATTTACGACCTAAGAAAAACGTTTATTTATAAGGCTTTAAGTTAAAATTTAGATGATTATTATACCGGGTGGCTTCGATGTAGTCGTTGAAGTTTGCTTTGTTGTTGCTGTTGTTGCATTTGTTGTATTCACCGTTGAAGCTGTTGTAAAAGCAGTTGTAAAATTAGTTGTAGTGTTTCCGCTTGTAGTTAAAGCTTTTGTTGTTGCTTGACTAGTTACAGGCGATGCAGTTGTGACTAAATTAACAATTAAAATTTAGTTTAAATTAGGAGATATCAACATATTAGTTAGTCAAATAATAAGCAACATTTTTAAAAAAAAATCGTTACCTGTTGTTGCGTTTGTTGCTATAGTAGTGATATTAGCTGTTGTAATTAAAGTAGTCAATGTAGTGGTTATATCAGTAAAGTTGCTGCTACTTGTTGCATTGGTTTCATTCGGGGATGCTTCATAAGTGGATACAGCTATAGAAAAGAAGAAGCATATTGTCAATCAATTAGGCAGAATATGGCGAAACAATGAGTGAAGAAAACAAGCATATGTATTAATGAATGAATGAATATATAATTGTCTATTAATATTCATTAGCTTCATTAAAATACTATCAATCATTTTACCTATTAAAATAACCAAAAGTAATCCAAAGATATTCATTTTGTAGGCTATGAACAATAGGTCTTAATCTAAAATAAATAAATCAATAATGATAAAAAGAACGAAGAAGAAGAAGGATGATATATCATCAAAGTATAGAATAGATAATAGGAGAAATGAATCCTTCTCGTATTACATGGAACTTTGATAAAAATAAAAAAAATTAAATGAAATGATAGATAGACAATTATCTTCAATATATATAGAAATTAAATAACTGTTTTTGAAAAAAACTATATGAAGAGTGAGTGAGTTTAGACTATATAAACGACGTGTCATCAACAGTTAATGATAGCAAGTAACAGCTTGTGTTGTTTCTTTGTAAAAATAATGGCTGAAAGAACAGAAAAAGAAAAATGTGCCAACGCAGTCTCCAGATGTACTTCATAAAAAAAACACATTCATTATGAAAAAAATAGAACATTTTTTAAACCCACGCATGTAATAATATTCTTTATTAATAATTTTTCTTTATAACATATGTACATCGCCTTAAGTCACACATGAACGAATAATGATGACAAAATTAGTCATTCTAAACTGTCATATAGAAAAGCGTATAATAATATTTGTACAAAAACCTTGTGAAATTTCAAGCTATATGAAAGAATATACTATATAAATCAGATATTTGTGACATCTATCGATATGCTCATTGAACTTTTGATCATTAAAAAAAGCGTGAATATGAATTTTGAAAAGAAAAATTACAAAATCATTCTTCTAATTACTTCAATCTCACGGTTGAAACGAGCAAGGTAATGTTCAATTTTAGACGTGCGTATATATGTCGTTGGCAAGTGCACGCATGTGAGCTCAATTTTCTTTTTCTCTACTATTCAGTTTACCTTCGTTCTTATTGATCGTTACGCTTGGTAGATTTCCTCTAGCTATCAAACGATAACTTCTTTTCGTTTCTTTTTTTATTCTCGTGGTCACGACAGTTCGCACTACACTACTACTTAACCTTGAAATAATCTCCGACAATTTCTTTTTTGTGTGTATTAAATCAATATGGCAGCACGTAGTACATCATCATCATCATCATCTTCAGAAACTGAAATCACATCTGAACGTATTCGTGCAACTAGTGAAACATCTGGAGATATAACTCGTACAGAATCAAATTTACGTGCAGATTCACCAACCAATACAATAGATGGTACTTCAATTGCTGATACAACAACTGTTCGAAGTGCTTCACCAACAGCAAGTCATGTATCAGGAGCACATACTCATACAACTTTTGATTCAGTTAGTGTTGCCACAGCAAATACAGGTTTTTCGAATGCAACAGCTATATCACAACCACAAATAGCTGGTGGTATACCAATAATTCGACCACCTGGTTTACAACAACAGCAACTATCAGGTACAGGTATTGGAGTATTCGGACCACAAAGACCAGCTGGATATCCAACACAACCACCAGGTGGTTCAAGTGGTAGTATCAATCAACAACCAATTCAAATTGATGTAGCAGCAGCACAACAACAATATCAACAACGTGGAATGCAACCTGAAATTAGTCCTTATAGTAAAAAGGAAAGATTTATATTGATAACTCTTACTAATTTGAACTTTTTTTAGGTGGTTCAACAACATCATCAAGTGCCGGATCATTATCAGTTTCAGCTGCTACTTCTTCTCATCAAAATCCTCGTTTTGATGCAGCTAAAGCTGTATTTAATCAAGTAGATGCAAATAAAGATGGTTCAATTAGTCGAGATGAATTTCAATCATGGGCTCAACGTGGTATTAGTCCAGGTGGTTCACAACTTAATCAACAACAGCAGCAACAGCAACAACAACAACAACAGTATATTTCTTTGATTTATAATAATATAAGAAGAAAAAAAAATGTTTTTTTTTTTTCAAGATTTCCAAATCAAATTCCTGCAAGTCAAGTTTATAATGAATTACTCGGTCCTGATGCTTTTAAAGATGTTATATTAGATATTGATTATGGTGCTATGGCAGGATTTAATGTTGCTTTTCAATCAGGTGGTGATTTTGACAATGGTCAATTACCACCCGGTATTAACGTTCGTCCAGCTTATACAACCGTTGATTCACTTAATTATCAACAACATATGTTTAATACAGCACGTACAATAAATGCAAGTGGTCAAAATGATAGTTTTGATTTTAGCGGTGCGAATAATAGTTCTTATGGTGGTAATGATGGACAACAACAACAACAGCAACAACAACAACACCAACAATTTGATGTTGCTCGAGCAATGTTTAACCAAGTTGATACAAATCGAGATGGTTCAGTTAGTCGAGAAGAATTTCGACAATGGGCTGCTCAAAGTAATCCTCCTCAACAAAGCCAAAGCTATGGTAGTACACCATCATATTCAACAGGAGTTAATTATCCAACAAATTATGGAAATAGTGCTGGTGGAGATGGTGCTAGTAACAGTTTATACCGTGCAACTTTATATGATGGAGCAAATCCAGCTGTAGCAAATATTCTTCAACAAAGTGGACTTGGACAAGTTGTACCAAATTAATAGTTAATTGTATAAAGAAAAAAGAAAAATCAAACTTTTATATTATGTCATCCGTCCTAGCCTAGTTATATTTCTCATAATCTTATTATTCATTCTATCCTTTTCTTTTCTTTTCTTTTCATTTCGATAATAGATTTCACTTTTTGTTAGAAGATTTTATTCTAGAAGTGAGAATAAAATAAACAAAAAATATATGATCAATGTATTCATTATAAATCAAGTCAGTAGATTTTAGATAAATGAATTTAAAGTTTTATTATTGTCAAAAATCATATTTCTAAATAAATCGAAAAAATATTTCTTTCTATTCAGTCAAAAAAAAATGAATATTTATCAGAAGAATATGAATAACAGTTCAAAGTCATGTCATTCCATTTTTATGTATGATCTATGCAAATAACGGAGCAATTTGTTAAACTTTCCATAGTCGGAATTGAAGATATATTGTCATTAAATATAGGTTTTTGTGTAACTATTGATAGAGATCGTGGTAGTAATAGTTTGATTCTATTAACGAAATCATAATGAATTATGTCGTCATTGTTTTTGATTAGTTATAAGTGTAACTGCTGATGTATTTAATAGATTCTCATTTGTTAAATTTGTGACAATGCAAGTAAAATTCTTACTACATTTAATTCGGAAGTAATTGTATCTCTATTATTCGAAGATATTGGAGTACGTTTAATACTAGTTATAGTAATAACTTATGTTCATGATGTGAAGTATTATGTATAGTATTGTTGTGCATAACATGAAATAGAACAAACTAAAGCAGCTTTAATTTCAACTACAACTGCACTTAGGTATTATATATAAATATTAAATCACATCGCCGATATTGATATTGATTTCAACCTTGATCTCAATGATCAATTTAGACTTGATCAACTATAATAGAAACTAAGTAAAACTGAGCCCGAGATCGAAATTCTTGATTTTATCTCAAATCTTTGTAGATAACTAATTGCATTTAATTGTGATAAAAACGATTAGTGTTATAAAAATTTAATTAGGTATAAGTAAGAGATGGCGTTGAATTACAGTTATTATTTCAATCTATATTATTATTAAATGTATAATTATACGGAGGAGTATTAGGATATATATTTGTAAGAATTGCTGAACAAACTATATAATGTATTATTTACAATAAAAATCAATTCATTGTTGTACTTGTACAAATTAAAGGTTCTAGATGTAATCTTCATTTCTTTTTAAAATAAATTCTATGTAGAAAATGTCTTCGCACAAAATTATCAAACGTAAGAGTTTTACCAAATTCAGAATTTTCGTTCTAATGGACATCTGATTACCTGAATAAATTAAATTTTTCTACTAACACGTGTTGGACATTCACACTTAGGACTATTCAAAAGACCTGCCGGGCAGTAATTTGCTTACGGATCGCTAGAGGATCTTCCATTCTGTTTTTCTATGATATTTAGTCATACTTTACTTAATATTGTGTAGATTTTAGAGCTTTTCTACCAGTATAAATAACAACGGAACAAATCTTATCAAAAATTTAGCATCGTAATATTAGTTGAAGTATAAAAAGCTACTTTCGCTACTACTTTTGGATAGCGCTACGTATTTTATGTTCTTAATCTAGATTTCTTTGATTCTGCCTTTCGTGTATAACTCTTTTCTCGACCTTCTATATCTATATAGATACAAAAATAAATGACAAGCAAAGAAAATTGTAAACATTAGATGAAACATTTCAGAACAAGTCTATTGATAATAAATTATTAATTAGACAAGCAATTTACTAACCAATAAAAAAGATAAGAAATATCAAGTCATAATTATGTATTTATAGATATAATTATTTTCAATGGAGAAAAAATTGTACTATTACACGTCATCAGTACGAAACGTATCGCGTAGTACGTTTTTCACTCATTTGTTTTCTTTTATTATCGGTAAAAAAAAACAAGCAAATTCTCATCTTGATTTATTTATGCTTCTATAATTATCAAACAGTTTATGATCTACTGCATAAAATACAAAAGAATTATTCTATTAATGTATAACATTTTTTCTTATTGACGATAACACGAGCTTTTTCTCTATGCATGTCTTTATCAATAATTTTTCGTTTCGATCAAGCTATATGATTACATTTCTCATTTAAAAATAGTCTTTCCAATTCAATAACAAAGTTTGATTTCGTTAGTAACAAATGTCAACAAAACTTTTAATAATTTATCAAAATAGTTTTTTTTGCGGCTTGAATGGTATCTGTTACAAAATATACTACCGTTTGTAAAGTCTTACTCAAGTTTTTGTATAGTACGAATATTATAATTAAGCGTTTATTTTGTCAAGGAAAAAAGTAATTTCAGCATGTTATTAAATTAGAAAATTGATTTTTTTTCTCTTGCTATGAAAACATAATCATGATATTTTCTCGTAAGAAAAACTTCTTTCTCTTTGATTACTTTTGCATCAAGAAGGAAAAACTATTATTGTCATATTGATTGATAAGAAATAGATTGAGTAACTTTTATCAAGGCTATAATAATTTTTAATCGAAATAAAATAAACTTAGTCTTTTACTAAACGCTTTTCTCTTCTGTAGACTATTCTAAAGTTTATCAAATTTTAATCATAGATAGAGTTATACGTTTCGAAATGAATATTGACTATGTCAAAATAACTTTATTGTGAAAGAAAGAAAAACGAACAAATATTCAATATTTTTTATACATATTTAATATACATTTATTGATAATCTCATATTATTATAACATATATCTTATATTTGGAATATTTTTTTATCGCACACACATTATCCAATATACGCACAATGTAATGGATTTTTTTGAACATTAATAAGTCTTCTCATTGTTATAGTAACAGTACTTCGACGTTGACGTTTTAATAAGCCAATCATATAGAGTTTATTTCGTAAACCAGGCAATGATGATAAAATTACAAATGGTAAAAGAAACATTACCCAATATGTTAAGAAAAAAGTAATCTGTTGTGCTTGTACACCAACATGATTTGGTAAGCCTAAAAAACGTGCAACAGAGAAAAGCATAATTGGAAAATTTAATAATAAATAAAGTGCAGATATTGATAATAATTGAATAATCATTTTTCTATATACTTTCCAACGAAATACTCGATGACGACGACGTTTATGATGTACGACACGTAAAAGTAAAGCAATACTAAAAAAAGTTACAATAATTGTCGATAAACAACCATGAACTCCCATTTCCCATACACCTAATACTGGATGAAAAAGATGACATGGTGATGCAGCACATACAGGTAATTTATATTTATAATCATGTTTACATGGTGGGAAAAAAATAACAATTGTATAATAAGTAATTGAATAAAGAATAAGAACTACTAATGGAAGATAATGAACGAAAAAACGTTTTTTACGCGTTGATGTCCATTGATCATGAAAAACAAGTATATGTCTTTCAATTGATGTCCACGCAAGAATAAGTGAAACTGTATTATAAAATCCTAAATTAACTAACCACCATATAAGACAACGTGCTTGTATTTGTGGTCGAACTGAACCTTTTCGAATAAAATCCAGATACCATGGAATATCCATTAATTGAAAACAAAGTGCTATACTTAATAAAACGATAATAGTATGATTATGTAAAGCATGACGAGAAGCTCGATTAATTAATAAATGATAAAGAACAAAAAGTGAACATATTATAGATGGAATATCAAAAATAAGTAGTAGCCAAAATCGAAGAGTTCTTGGCCAGTATATTTCAGTATTTTCAAAAGCTGTTTCACTACTATTTGTCATCTCGGTTTTGTTTGTTAAAAATCTTGTCCGTATATGTAGAAAAGATAATAATGTCTTGTCAGACAAAGCAACATGATGGAATAATAAACATCTTAATGACTATAGACAGCTATTCTTAATGTCACGCATCTATTTTCTTATTTATTATTCTCGCATGACAGTTAGTACGTTTGTTCCATTGAGAAATACATATTCTATTTCATGTAAAAAACAATCAATAAAAGAAAATAATTTCTTTTAAATAATCTAGCCGAATGACTATGTTCTCGCGACCCTGCTTATTAGTATTAACTATAGAAGAGTACAAGAAAACAATGTCATACTGTATCTAAGATATTAATAGATTGTTATAAAAATAGTTTTTTCTTAGAATAAACTTCTCTTATTTTACATAAAATTTTGATTGTAAATCAATCAAACTTTATAATTATAATAGTCTGTAAATAAAAACCTGATAAAGATGTGACCAGTACTCTTATCAATCTATTGATATTGATTTACTAAAAAGCTAGATAACATGATTATTCATACTTCGTCGAAAGATAACTATATAGTATATATTTTCTTACGAGCGAGACAAAGGTTCACATATTTTTAATTATCTTTGTATGCTTGGGAGCAAAGATGATTAATCGGATAGTCGTTGAGTGCATGCAAAAAATAATGATCATTCACATTCAATCGTCACTGAGGGTGGATGTGGGTGTGAGTTTGATTGTGTGTGATGAGTGATTGTAGGTATACATGCTGGTGTGGGCGTGAGTTATTCGAAAATACACATACTCACCCACACCCTAAAAACAAGAAATATTACATTATGATTACTTTTCCTCTATACGGTGTCGACAAAAGGACTTTCAACCAACAACATAACTACCGATAGAAGTACTGTATATACGATAATAAGTTACTTAACGTTAAATATCTAAATGGAAAGATATAGATCCATCGAAGATCAACTCTTTCGTTTAATTAATTTACGAATAAATATAATATCAACTTTCGGTTTCTTCACAAGTGAAGTTTATAAGGCAACAATATAAGGATACGATCCATTAGTATTCTTAGTAGCAAAAGAATATAGTTAAAAAAAAGATTGAAGTTATTGTTTGTAATACAGTATAGAGCGACACTGTTTCTTTTTTTTCTATATCCGTTGATTAATCATAGTTTTTTTCCAATAATATTTCCACAAGATTGA